TGAAACCAGCTATTGGAAGTCAAGAGGCTCATGCACCAAGCTCTGGTATATCTGATAACACTGGCAGGAGTTGGGAATATATGTCTGCAATGTGGAGAGGTAACAGCAAATCTCAGGTGACAGGTCTTGCGGATAAACCAGACATGACATCTGTAGATCACAGCCTGTACCAAAACCCAGCGGCTGCATTTCGTAAGGCTCACCATGAGGCATAAGTTTGGAATTTTCAGGAGTAAGCCACCAGCCTTAGGCTCTAACAGCTGGAAATTATGGAGACTGTTCTCCTGGCTTTGCCATTGCAATGCTGTGCAGTGTGAAGGTTCTTCTGCAACTATTTAACCTTTGTAACTCCACTTCCTTGTCTGCAAAATAGGAGAGCGGGTGATCATGTTTGCAGAAAACATCCACTGATGAGGAGAACTAAATGACAACTTAGGGGAATGGTTGTTTGCCCACATGCTGAGCAAGCCTTTTCTTTGTCCTTGTTTTGTAATGGACTAATTGTCCTTTCCTTCACCTGGCATCTGGCCATCCTCTAAAGGGAACCAAGTAGGAAGGGCCATACAAGGCAGCCTCAATCACAGCTGTATTCCTGTGCTGAGTATTACCTGTTAGCTGGGTCTAGAAGAGTTTCCACAAAGCAAGTGATAGGCTCAGCAAATCACTCTTTGGATGGGTCTTACTCTCTTCATTGTCTCTAGAGAACAGCAGTTCATTCCCTCTGAATACGGTCCATAATGTCAAAGCAAAAGCTAGTGTTCTTATTTTGCTTGTTTTGTGAAAGCTGAGTAAGAGTAATGTTTATATGACTTTGATTTGGAACCTGAATTCCACTAGGTTTGCTCAAATGTGTAATCAGCATTGCTCAAATGTTTTAACAGCTTCCTACTGAACCTCAGAACTATAATAAAACCTGAAACTGAGCAATTTATTTGCAAGCCTTTAAGACAATTCAGAAAATTATCTTTTCAGAAATGCATCCTCCAGGAGCACAGAGAGTAATAACTTTCCATTTTACCCGCAGAGAAGAATGACATTTCATTTTTAGTTAGACTTTTGCACATTCGCATCCTTCCTCTCTAGGGAACTTGTTTTGCTAATAACTACAAAGCTTTTCAAGCTCCCAGAAAGAAGCTAGAATGACTGTAACAAGCAGAAGTTTCCATAGGGCATCAGGATTGTGCATCTAACACAGACACAGTCCATCTGTAGCTCAAACATTGTACCAAAGCCTCCCACTCCAGCAGCGCAGCCTGCTAGTGCAGAGGCCCTGGGGAGTTAGGCGGGTGCCCTGGTTTCCTTCCAACAATGCAGCATCCACCAGATGAAACTGAGCAGAACTCACTTTCCCCCCCTCAGTTCTGCCACCATTTTTGAGTCTTACCTGCAAGAACCTCTGCCCTAACCTTTGCTGGGCTGGCAAATACCACTGCCTTGTGTTTTGTTGGTCATATTGTATATAACATCCATTAATGACTAAGCACTCCATCTACAGAGTCATGTCAGACCAAGACCCAGAAAGGACTGAAGCTGAATTTTGGTGCCTCGTTCTGGGTCTGCAAGAGTGGGGTTCATCTCTGTTCCCTCTGCTTGCCAATTCCTTCTTAACCTTCAGGGTTTTTAACCTCCATAGGTATTTGCACTTGTTACTAAGATGTTCTGGAGATACCTTCAAAAGTTACTTTTGTTAGGACCAAAGAGGAAAACTGTTTCGGTTATGTGACAGACTGTGTTTGGCTGGAATGGAGTTAATTTTCTTCATAGCAGCCTGTATGGTGCTGCTCAGGGGCTCATTGTGGTGCTGCACTTGGTTTGTAGATGTCAAGGGTTTGATACTAGAGAGTGTGGTGTGGGGATGCAGGTGTGGTCTCTGAGCAGAGGCTGGGGTTACCCTATGCTGGACACAGTTGGTGCCAACCAACTCCGCAATGGACCCACAGCAGGATGCAGCTGAGCCCGTCACCCAAGCTGGTGGCACCTAAGAAAGGAAGAAAATGCCACAGAGAGGAGGAGCAAAAAAGTTAGAAACAGCAAAGGTGACATCAAGGTCAGAGAAGGCAGGGAGGATGTGCTCCATGGTGGCATAGCAGATACCAACCACTGCAGCTCAGGGAGGACACAAGCCAGAGCAAAAGAAAAGTGTGACAAGGAAGAAGTAGCAGAGAGGAACTCCTCCATGCCGCTCAGGGTGAGGGGAAGAGTCTAGAAGTTGAGCCCTCCTCTGCAGAAAAATGGTCAAATTCTTACCACCCTGCCCTGTTGGCTGTGTAATACTCTGGCTTTCTGTCTTGCCTGTTGAAGTTGTGATTTTTTTAAAAAGATTAACTGTTGGCTAGACCAGAGATAGTAGAGAAGAGAAAGTGGTGCACTGAACTTGTCAGGTTGATGCTGGCTACTGTCCTGACCAAGTGTTTCATGTGGACAAGTCACTGAAGGAAATGTATGAACATTTCTGGTGAAGCCAGTCCCACTTTCTTCTGCTCCATGACATTATCTGGGGAGCCTCAAACACCCTACCCAGGACTGTGAGGTCCCCCTGGTTCTAATTCAGTTCCCCTTTGGATTTAGCCCTCAGGCCAAAGTCTCAAATTTGTCTTCTTCTAAAAACAGGTCTCTAGAAAGGTGAAACATTAGTGTGCTGTATCCTTTAAGTCTGCACATTATACAGGGGCAGTATGGAAACTCAAGCCTCTGAGCTAAACAAATTTGAGACAAACTTTTGCAGAGACCTAAGAACATTCTCAGAGTGCCCTCCTGAGCCTTCTCCTGAACCCAGGACAGTCATGAAGAGTTGGACAGTAAAGCAGCTAATAACTGGAGTCCCAGCTGCTACTTAGAGCCTCTTCAGATTAATTTTTGAAGTTGTCTTTTTAGAAATCATCAATTACTCAGATGCTAACAACAGCCATAAACTATATTATGAAGTAGTTTTCTGTTCTTTCAGCAGCAATGGCTCTCTCTATATAAAAACCTGAGAGACTGGGTGAAAACCATTGCAAACAACATTACTTGGTGACTGATAGATGAGCACAAGTAGTTGGACCATCTCTGCTTTCAGCAGTAATCTATGACTAAAAACTTTGTTCTCAAGTTTTGTGTATGGCTTGAGTCCCTCTCTCTCTGGGAATGTGCAGTTGAGCAATGCAGCTATTTTTTTCCAAAGAATCCAGTCATATTTCCTACATCCTAGACTTCCTGATGCATATGTACATGTTCTGGGGTCATTATGCCCTTTTGTCTGACTCTGATCAAACTTGTGGTCTGTTCTCTTCTAATTTGGGAGAAAACTAAAATCTCTGGCAAATACTTTTTTTCCCTTAAAGTTGAATTATCTTGAAAGGCAGATGTAAGCTGAGGGTGAAACTCACAGCTGAAATACTTTGTATCTAGTTTGTTGGGCTGTAACTTGCTTGAAGGTAACTTTGATCTACTACATCTTTAGTTGATACTCACAGAGTTAGAATTACAGCTGTCTATTGGAAACACAGATTTGATTCATATGCTAGTAATATTTATCTTTCATCTTCTCCATCTCTTGCTTGGTTGAGAACTTCTATTATTGGTCTGCATGTGCCAGTTGATGGAAAATTTATTTGGCACATCCACATGAAGCTTCTGGATGATGTTTACTGCTCCTCAGGCTGTAACAGTAATTATGGTGGTAAGGCACTGGAATAGGTTCCCCAAAGATGTGGTAAATGCTCCATCTCTAACAGTGTTCAAGGCCAGGCTGGATAAAGCCTTGGGTGACACGGTCTAGGGTGAGGCATCCCTGTCCATGGCAGGGGGTTGGAACTAGATGATCTTAAGGTCCTTTCCAACACTAACTTTTCTGTGATTCTACGACTCTGTGCATCAAATGTCAGAGTGAAGCCTTTAGAAATTGGAATTTCCTTTAAAATCTGAAGCCTGTGACAATGCTGTCCACATTCTAACGAACCCTAATTATGTATGTATATGTCAACTTTTCGCTAATTTTATTTCCATGTTAAAAACATCATTCGTATTAAATCTTGTTCTGATTTAAGCAGGAACTCTTAAGTTCTACTTTTAGGTGTCAGTGATTTAATTCTCACCACACAAGGAAATGCTTTTACCCCTAAGTACAGATGGGAAACCTGTGGTGAAGAACTCTGATATGGCCGCCAGCAGGGAGGATTTGGTGGATAAGAGGCAGAGGAAGGCCACATGGGCATATGGCTGTTCTGGAGTCCTATCTACCCAAGCAGAGCTAAAGGGTTTTGAATTGAGGTGTGGGGAATCGTTGGTTCTCATACTGCTTGCAACAGAGGAAACCATGGGCCCTTACTCTCTGCTCTTCAGTGCCACCTTGTAAACACAGCTTGAGGACCTGGATAGAGAAGAGCTAGGATGATTTAAATTCATTATAAATAATGAATTAAATAAATAGGCACAGTGGCTATCTCATTGAATCTCAATGAACTATGTGTAAATCAAGCAAGCACTAGGAGAAAAGAAGCCTTTGCATTTTCATTGAGCTCCAGTGTTTCATTTTATCTCATAATAACTTTCCCTATTTTATTTCCTTTGTATTGAGCCTAAGATCAAAGCAATAACTTTGTTAAATAGCAATCAATTCTAATCAATTTAATAAGCAGCAAAGGAATTGCTTTGACTAAAAGAAAAGCTGTTAGCCAACTCTCTGTGACTGTCTGCCTGTGCTTGCTGGCATTGCTCTATGCTGTGTTTCTCAGCTTCCCTTGCCCCTGCCCCTGTTCAGTCTCTGGTCAGTACGGGGCCTACCTCACAGCGCTGCAGGTATCTGCATGCTCTTCCCACTCTGGGAGTGCAAGCAGCTTTAGTTTATTCAGCTCACACAAGAAAGGCCTGAATAATTACACCTTGGAGACTTTCCTGGAGCTGAGGGTAAACAGCAGGCAAGAGGAATTTTATTCATTTCTAATCTGAGCAGAACTTACACTGCTCTTGGTAACCAGTGAGGAACATTTCAGTTTATTTATTTATTTATTTATACTTACCACTGCCAAGTCCAAAACCAGGCAGTAAGTTGGTGCATGTGCTCAGGTCATTTACTTCCTGGGGCTTTCACATACCAGGGCCACATTTCTGGAATTCTTCCTATTCTTTAGAACATAAAGCTCCAGTTATCTCCAAGTTTCTGGTTAAACTATGTTCCAGGCACCAAACTTTATGTTTTTGCAGACCAGTTAGGACAAGATATTGCTCCTCCAGAGGAGGCTGCTGCTAGCAAGGTAGAACACAGTTCAACAGTTTAATTAACTGTTCAAATTGTGCAGCTGATCTGCAATACCGGGCAAGAAGGCAATGGCTGGCACTTGCATTAGCATTAGCTTCAAGATGGGAAATAGCCTTTGCTGACTGGTTCTGGCTCTTCTCTCCCAATGCCTATTTTTGATATGCACAAACCTGCAAAGAGGAGCAGGGTAGAAAAAGAAGGAAGAGCAAAATAAATGCACAACAAAGGCAGAAGCATCAGAAAACCAACACCTGCTCTAGCTACAATTCAAATGAGCCAGTCATGCAGGACATCCTAGCAGCACTGCAAAGAGGTGCACTCTTTGCCATAGCCAATGCAAATATTGCACCAGTGTATACATTTTGGTTACACAGGTTAAAAAAAACACATAAAAATGAGCATTTTTATCATGGCCTCAGAATTCCCTACAGAAAAGCATCCTCAAGACTTCTTCAGGTCTCAAATCGGATTGACCTCAGCTATGAGTTAAAAGACCAGAAGAAAACTTTAATTTTAGCTTCTTTTAAACTAGAACACTATTTATCGGGCCTCAGGTACCTTTGGTTAAAAGGCTCTATTTTAATAGTTTTTAAGTGACAAAATCCCCCCCAAACCTGGTAGAAAATGTCCTTATTATGTATTCTCACATGGTCTTGCTGGAACACTTGAGAATGATTATAATGATCTATGGAGCTTGTACTCAAAGGCAATAAATGATTTTGGTTCTTGAGCAGTAAGCAGCCAAAACTGCAACGCCAGAGAAGTATTTTAAATGCTGTCAGTGGGAGTTTTAAATCCACTCAGGCCTTTGTTAGTGTTTGCATATTTTGTAAGACATTCAGATATTACTGAAGGGTTGAGCAGCAAGATAAAACCACAAAGTGGAGTGGCAGTAGTAGCTACCACTGTAACAGCTGTAGTTAGGTCAAGGACAGACTAAGTCCATTTGTCAGAAGTAAACTGTTAAGAGTTTACACTCACCTAGACTTATCTGATCTAATAATCTCTCTGTGGTGAGCTGCCAATAGGGTTAGCTCTCAGAAAGTGAATGTTAATACAGTCTGCGGATTGCTTTGGCAGTGAGGTAGAAGTCCCATCTGCTTCTGTTACTAACAGGAATTTCTGAAAAGCTTATCATGACCTGTGTATGTTTCCATCACACAGATCTTAGACCCACACAAGAAGCAAGGGCCTTGTAAAATGAGATTTTTGTTCATTACATAGAGTTCCTCTTTCAAAAAAGTATATAAATAACCCACAGAATTCAATCCCATTGAAGGTATAGATTGTATAGATCCTATTCCTACCTCTTGGTCATAATACTATGGACTTCAAAACACTTCTTAGTTAAGAACTATTCTTTACTCCCCAGGTGAACTGGGGGTAACCAAGTTTTAAGAGTTGCCTAATTACATATTTAACTGTGAGGCTGGAACCCTTCCATCTCTTGGGTGACAAAACTGCCTAAAATACATAGTGACCCAAGATAGAGTCTCTTAAGTAAATGAAAGGCAGATTAGAAATTTTCTCACTGGATATTTGCCATTGAGACTAGAATAACTCACAGGGGTCTTGTGGAGAACAGAGCAATGGCACAGAAGATTTGACAACATAACTGAACACAAGAAAATTAAATGTCTTTAGTAAAGGGCCTGATCCAGCTATACTTAGTGAAGGAAGGGGTTTTACCAATGCTTTTGAAAGAAAATTGAATCGAGCCTGGGTAAGATTTGACAAGTTGCTGATGGAATGTAATCAGGAGCAGTCAGCATGGCTTCACCAAGAGAAGCCATGCTTGAGCAACCTGATAACCCTCTATGATTAAATGACTGTCTTGGTAGATGATTGTTGAGGCAGTGATATTGTCTACTTTGACTTCAGTTGTTGGCACTGTCTCCCAGAAGATCCACACAGAAAAGCTGATGAAGTATGGGCTGAATAAGTAAACAGTGAAGTGGACTGAAAATCGGCTAAATGGCTAGGCCCAGAGTGTGGTCATCTGTGGAACAAAGTCATAGTGAGTAATGAACAGCAAGATGGGAAGGTAGGATGTCACTGCTCTGTTGTCAGTGCTGCCATTTGCTCCCCCTGTGACAATTCTGTTACTGAAATTTTCACTCTCATTCATCACCCTAATGCCAAAGACTCAGAAATGATGGACTAAGTTCCCAGTGTGGTCGGTACTCTGCAATTTACTAATTACTGGTAAACCACCAGTAATTAGTTGTTTACCCAAGGGGTCACTATTGGGTCCAATCCCATTTAACTCTCCATTAATGATCTGGCGGATGGGGCAGAATATACCCTCAGCAAAACTGGAAGAGTGGCTGATATTGTTGTCATTCAGAGGGACCCTGACAGGCTGGAGAAATAGGCTCATAGGAACCTCAAGTTCAATAAGGGTAAGTGCAAAGTTCCAAGGCACTAGCTGGGGGACACCTAGCTGAAGAGCAGCTTGGAAAAAAGCATCTGGGGGTCCTGGTAGACACCAAGCTGAACAGGAGCCAGCAAAGAAGAGTGAATGGTATCCTGTGCTGCATTAGGCAAAGCATTGGGAGGTGACCCTTCCCCTCTACTCAGTACTGATAAGGCCACACCTGGAGTGCTGTGTCCAGATCTGGGCTCCCCAGTAGAAGAGAGATACGGAAACACTGGAGAGTCCAGCAATGGGCATTAAGTCGATTAATGGATTGGAGCACATCTCCTACAAAGAAAGACTGAGAGAGCTGGGACTGTTCAGTCTGGAGAAGAAAAGGCTTAGGAGGAGCAGGTCTTATCAGTGTATGTAGATACCTAAAGAGAATGGAGCCAGGCTCTTTTCAGTGGTGTCTAGTGACAGGACCAGAGGCAATGGGCACAAACCAAAACATAGGAGGTTCTCTCTGAACATCAGAAAACACTTTTTTGATGGTGATGGTGACCGGAGAGGTTGTGGAATCTCCATCTTTGGACATATTCAAAACCCATCTAGACACATTCCTGGGCAACTGGCTCTAGGTGGCCCTGCCTGGTCAGTGGGTTGGACCACATGACTTCCAGAAGTCTTTTCAACCTCAATTGTTCTGTGATTGTGTGATCTTTCCCTGTAACAGACTGTGAAGGCAGAGGATGAACTTACCATATGATTCAAATTTAATATTTAACATTTTTGCTTTCGGTAACTTAATATATCAGGACAATTTCTTGGTGTAGATCTTTTCCCAGACCAAATACTTTGAACTGGAGAGTATTAAAGGAAAAAATTATCTGAGACCTTTTTGACTGAAGGAAGCAACCACAGGAAGAAGAACACTTAAAAATAGATATGTCAGATTAATATGAGCTTTTCTGGGGGCCAGATGACTTGTTACCTAATCATGCTCATCCTTTGCCACCCACGACTTCCTCTGGGCACACACCTAGGCTTGGACAGCATAAGAACAGCACTGGGGATCTTGCATCCTTCTTCTTCAGAAGTAAAACGTGTGAAGCAATTCAGGAAAAGGTGAACCTCAGACAGCTGATAACTGGGCAGGCCCAGGTACACCAGGGTACCATGAGACAGTCTGACATTGGGCAGAGCTGTACACAGGCACTAAGTAGTTATTAACGCTATTAAAGTTCTCATGACATGGCACTTAATTCTCTTCAAGGTACACTCTGCATAATCATATTTTTCATTGCAAAGCTGTGTAGAGGTTTAGTACAAAAGTAAGCAATCACTACTGTGTTTTCTGATGTTTGCTAATGATCAGCTGTGACATGCTATTTTCTATGAAAGCAGCATCTATCTGCATCATTTCTACTATAGACTGATACTGAATAACCTGGCAAATATATTATTAACCCGTTCATTTGACTTTAATTTGTCTAAATGCTTCAGTCTAGGCTGTGAATTCTTTTACTTAGAGAACATTCATTCTTTCTGAAATAGAGCACCCTACTTGCTTCCTTTTTAAATACATCCACTATAAAACAATTGCAAACACTAAAAACCAAACCAGAACACATTGTGGGAATCATCAGATGAATCCTATTATTTTAAATTTACTTTCAGGTAATTTTCCTAACAATATCAGGGATATATTTCTTGTATTTGATAATGCACATCTTGCTGATAAGCCAGGTACTAATTAACATACCCTGCATTTAAGATTCCCTAGTGTTCAATCAAAGAACAAAGGTCCTGGGAATGATTAACAATCAAAGCTAAAGATAACAGTTGACTTCAGATCAATCTGATCTTTACCAGAATGCATTTGGCTACAAAGACATGAAGTAACCCCTGTAATCCCTTAAGTTGAGGTTACTCCAATCATAAAGAGGCCATAAAAATAGCACTCGAAATTTAAGAGGTTTATGGTGGTCAGTGCCCTAGACTAGTTGTTCTTAAGAAACATCAAAGGCAAGCATTCATTACACAGAAAGCCTGTTTCAGTTTGGGCAGCCATTGAACACATATAACATAGCTTTCAAGCTGGGGAAAAATGCACTTCTTTTTCCTGTCCTCTACACAGCTGGTTAACTCTCAGTCCTGTCTTTTGCTCTGCCCCCCATCTTCAATAAATACAAGAGATCTTCTCTTATGTAACATTTAGGTGACTTACTTTCTTTGCAGTGTGTTGTTGCACTCCACTGTAAGTATGCTCAACTTTTTGCTTTTTCACCTTAATGTTCCACTTTAACTATGCTGAATCCTAAAACATAATTCTATTCTGGGAGCATCCTAGCTTTTGGCATCCTTATATATCAAGTCCTCAGCAACCTGAAAGTAGAGTGATGGTTAGTGTCCAAGGCTGTAAATCAGCTTAGCTTGGTTGCTGATAGATATGACAGAAACACGTGTCTGCAACTAGTAATTTTCTCTTGCTGGGACATTTTTAGAGGCAAAAAGGGAAGATTTTAACACGTCCAATTGAAAATCTCTCTCAGACATGTTGTCTACATCATCCTAACATACTGTTCTGAGGCTGTTAGTGTAGAAAGAGCAGGAACAGCAATTTAAACCTTACTGAAATCGACCAAATTGGATTGTGGCAGCTAAGTTCAAGTGAAACCTTCTTGTATATTAAGAGCTTACAACTATTTGGCTGGCAGAAAGACTCTTAAGTCAAAGGTGATGACTTCTACTATTGCACTGGCTGCATGCATGTAGGTGAAGAATCACAGAGGTACTGAAATGAATAGTGAGAGATGAACAGCAAGATGGAAAGCAGCATCCCACTGCTCTGTTTTCAGTGCTGCCACTTGCTCCCCCTGTGACAAATGATGGAATCGGTTCTCAGTGTGGTTGGTACTCTGCAAACACAGAACAAAAAGGCAATTTCTGCCTCCAACACCAAGTTTCCATCTAAGAATAAGATACAATCCAGTAGGATGCAGACATCTAAATGTTCATCTTTCCTGGCACACCAAGTTCTGCTGGGAGTGTTTTAGCAGGAACAGGCACCTAATGAGGCCTTTTTTCATGCCGCGAGGAGGCGCTCTCCTAAGAGCATGAGCTCGGCCAGCCTCAGTAGGCAGCAGATGCTTTGTGGGAGTTAACCACAGCGAAGCCCTTGCAATTTTCTGTCACCACCAGCACCTGTTACCCCTTTCTTCTCCAGCTGACTGCTGGAATGAGCCAGTGGAAAAAGAGAGAGATCAGAGACAAGGTCAGCCCAAAGCAGAGCTGCTTCCTTGCAAGTTTGCCCACATAAAGCATCTGTGTTGAGTAGGACCAAGGTGGGAGAGGACTTAGCGGGCAGAAGTGTTTGTGGAGAAGTGCTACTGAAGTGCTACAGAAGGAGGTCAGCATTTTAATGGACAGAAGGCCAGAAGGAAAGTTTGGGGACTTTTGGTTTTAGTCCAAGTCCTGTTCATGGTGTGAGTCTGAGTGAACATCCTACCCCCCTCTGACCTCCCTGTCATTCAGTTACCTGTATAAGTTAAGGGTAGTGTTAACTGGATGGTATGGGGTTTAAGTGATACACGTGCAGTACTTAGAAACCACTGCATGATCCTGTTCTCAAGGTGCAAAATATTATTTTATTATTTACCCCAACCTTCTTCACATTTTTCACAAGATTTTTGGGAACTAGAGATTCTTCCACTTCCAGACACCTCTTGTTTCACTGCAGGTAGACAAGAAGACTAAAACTAGCTTCATAATTTTCAGGAAACTTTGCTAGTCTACAGGAACAGTCTGAAGACCATGAGGTTGTGGGGGATGAAGATTTCTTCAGTTTCCTTTCTGAAAGACAACTTAATTTAGCCAAAATTCTCATATGCATTAAGCCAACAGACTTTCAGTGGTTTCCCAGGTTACAGTTCATTAGTGTCTGCATCACAGAGAACCAGGAAGCACACTAAAATAAGGACACCGCAGATTTCATTGTTGCACAGTGCTAACAGAGAACTCGCCTCTCATGCAGATGATTAGACAGGCTGTGGTACTTCAAGTATTTTTAACTTGTGATCTGATGAGAGGTTTAGAAATAGGGGAGCTGGCATAAAGCATCACACGTAAATCCACAGTTCAGAGCATAAGGTGGTGATCTTCCAAGTTTATGGCATCTAACAGCAACTGTAACATAAATGATACCCGTGGGTGGGGAGGATTAGTTTGCTGAACACTGTGCTGGACTTCCCTTTCTAGAACCTGCATGCTGGCAGGTTTTCTGACTACAGGAGGGATGCCTTGAGGCCTGGGGGCTGCTGGAAAACAGGCACTGGGAGCTAAGACACCTACCCAAGTGTGTGGTCACAGAAAATAAACACTCTTAGCACTCCCCCACCCCACTCCAAGGAAATATCTCTTTCAGCTACATGACACACAATGTGCCATTTAATGGTCATCGGGAGACTGGGGAGATTTTTTGCATTTTTGCGCATTCAGAGGAAAGGTTCTTGTGGGTATATCACAGCGTCCGTAAGGAGCTTCAGCAGCTTCAGTGGTTACCTTGCAGACGCAATGATCCAGGCACATAGAGCATCTTTTAAGGACCAGCGCCATAAATTATGAGTCTAGGAGCTGCAACAGCTCACCTGCTAGTATCTGTGCTGTCATACAAACTAGTGCTGATTCCTTGGTTCCTGTACTTCCCTCCCTGGGTGTATCTCACCAGATGTCTTGTACTAACTCCTAGGGGCATGCAGCTCTCATGGTCAGTGTTTAATACTGCCCAACACCATGGGCTCCAGCACAGTATTACCACAGAGCAATAGCAGTAACAGAAAGAGGCAGGAGTGGGCAGTGCACTTTTGGTACTTGATACTGTTTCAAAAGAACTGCATAACAATATGCACTATACAGTCAGAGTCTGGCTTTAGAGACATTAATAACTGTACTTCATAGCAATTTAAAGATACTGAAGGAAAAGATGAAAACAGGCCTCCTCAATACCTTTTCCAACTGTTCTGTGAAGGAGAAGGAGGCTCTTGGTAGAAACCGTCCAGGAGTATATTCCTTCCCCAGCTACTTTTCTGGATTTGTTGATGGATTGCACAGCTATGGTACATTCAGACATCATTTCCATAAGCCCATTATTACCAGAATCTGTGGGCTACTTAATGCTTGCATGAGAAGCTAATGAAGGACAAAGATTCTTTACCTCTGATGGTTTCAGTGAAACAACTGTCTGAAACGTAAGAAAAAGCTATTGTCAGTAGCAAATTACCATTACAGAGAGCCACATGAATATATAACTCCCACAAAAGGTGACATGCTCTTTATTTTGTGGCTCATGTTCTAACAGTGGCCTTATGGTCCATGTGCAGTATCTCCCTGATGGAGATACTCTCATCAGGGAGATGGATATCAGGAGTATCCTGATGGATACTCCTATCAGACTTTTTGGTGGGCATCTGTACAGTCCAATGTCTCATCATTCTGCAGTTCTGGTGGAGTCCTGTTAACCCGCCCCCTGAGACTTATTCTTCTTTCTAAAAACTCCTGTTCTCAGTCCTATTTAACTGTGTCATGACTCATATGATCCCTGAGCCAAGCAACCAGATGTAATGCCAGCATTTTAAGCAATGTTAATGTCCTGGATTCAGCTGTAGCAGTCATTTTTCTCCTTCTTGGTAGCTGGTGCGGTGCTGTGATTTTGACTTTCAGCCTGGGAACAGCGCTGATAACACCGATGTTTTTAGTTGCTGCTCAGTAATTTTTAGTCTGACCAAGGACTTTGTGAGTCTCATGCTCTACCAGGGAGGAGGGGAAGCCAGGAGGAAGCAGAGACAGGACACCCAACCCAAACTAGCCAAAGAGGTATTCCATACCACAGCACGTCATGCCCAGGATGTAAACTGGGGGTAGTTACCCGGAAGGGGTAGATCACTGCTTGGATCAGGCTGGGTATAGGTTGGCGGGTGGTGAGCGGTTGTATTCTCTTCCCTTATTTCCCTTTTCATTATTATTATTGGTGGTAGCAGTAGTGATTTGTGTTATACCTTAGTTACTGGACTGTTCTTATCTCAACCCATGGGAGTTACATTCTTTGGATTCTCCTCCCCATCCCTCCGGGAGTAGGGGGGAGGAAGGAGGGGAGGAGTCAGCAAACGGCTGCATGGTTTCTGAGTGACAGGCTGGGCTTAAACCACGACAGTTAATGTCATTGTGTGTCACTGAGCAAACAAGTGTCATGTACCCTTCACCTGTGCAAGGTACTTCTCTTGTTAACTTGAACTTTCATTTGGGTGGTAGCTTTATCTCTCTAACAGATAAGAGCCAAAGACCTTGGACATTGACTTGGAGGTACTTTAACTCCTATATGGTAAATCAGATTGGATGGGAGTGTGAATTAGAGCACAGATCCTGATTGAATTCAGGAAAATTAAGAGTAACAAGATAAAGAAGTATAGGGCTGGTTAAAAGCATTGACATCATTTTCAGATGGGGTCATGTTTGCTACTCAGCTTAGAAGAAATGGGACATAAAAGCTAGATGTCACCAAAAGCTACTACACTTTCAGTTTCTTTTGTCCTCTCTTGCACATTGAAGAAAATATCATATAAAACAGTCTTGCTTTTCATTCCAAGAAAAAAAAATAATTGTAATTTCTGCTGAGTTCTACTTGGCTGGTTGATGAAATGACTTTCCATATGGGTCAGAATTATTTGGCTGGGTGGGGGGGTTGGAACTAGATGATCTCAAGGTCCTTTCCAACCCTAACTATTCTATGATTCTATGATTCCTCATCCCATCAGGCTGTGATTCTTCTATAATTGCCATTAAAGTCATAGAATTGTAGAATAGTTAGGGATGGAAAGGACCTTAAGATCATCAAGTTCCAAGCCCCCTGCCATGGGCAGGGACACCTTACACTAAACCATGTCACCCAAGGCTCTGTCCAACCTGGCCTTGAACACTGCCAGGGATGGAGCATTCACAACCTCCCTGGGCAACCCATTCCAGTGCCTCACCACCCTAACAGGAAAGAACTTCCTCCTTATATCCAATCTAAACTTCCCCTGTTTAAGTTTTAACCCATTACCCCTTGTCCTGTCACTACAGTCCCTAATGAAGAGTCCCTCTCCAGCATCCCTATAGGCCCCCTTCAGATACTGGAAGGCTGCTATGAGGTCTCCACGCAGCCTTCTCTTCTCCAGGCTGAACAGCCCCAACTTCATCAGCCTGTCTTCATACGGGACGTGCTCCAGTCCCCTGATCATCCTCGTGGCCCTTCTCTGGACTTGTTCCAACAGTTCCATGTCCTTTTTATGCTGAGGACACCAGAACTGCACACAATACTCCAGGTGAGGTCTGACAAGAGCAGAGTAGAGGGGCAAGATCACCACCTTCGACGTGCTGTTCACGTTCCTTTTGATGCAGCCCAGGATACAATTGGCTTTCTGGGCTGTGAGTGCACACTGAAGCCAGCTCATGTTCATTTTCCCATTGTCCAACACCCCAAGTCTTTCTCCACAGGGCTGCTCTTAATCTCTTCTCTGCCCAACCTGTAGCTGTGCCTGGGATTGCTCCAACCCAGGTGTAGGACCTTGGTCTTGAACCAGTTCCTCTCCTACAGTGGCCCCAAGGTCTTCATTCTCACAGTCCCTGCATCTGCCTTCCAAGACTTGGGTGGTGCAGTCAGAGCCTTTGGCAGTGAAGACCAAGGCAAAGAAGT